CCCCAAAACCCCAAAACCCCAAAACCCCAAAACCCCGGGCCTAAAATAACAAGCTGAAAATGCCAAAAATTACTAAGAAAAGGACCAAAAAAGCAGCCTCAAAAAAGACCAAAGTAATCACAAAGAAAGGCAAGAAGACCATTAAGACCAAAAAAGTCACGGAAAAGGACACAGTCGATACTTCTACCACAAAACCATCTGTAGAACTGAAGAAAGTTAAGATTTCAAGGAAGAAGAAACCGAAGAAGATACTGAAGAAGGTAGATACCCAAGAGAGTAAGGAAAGTAAGGAAACAATGGAGAGAACGCCAGAGAAGAAGGATGTGAGTCAGGAGAAAGAGGAGAAGAAGGCTGAGGTAGTGAAGAAGGTAGAGGAAAAGCCCGATGAGAAGATGAATGAGAAGGTTGATAAGAAAGTGGAAAAGAAGGAATCAAAGTCACCGAAAAAGGTTCAAAAAATGAAAAGCCCAAAGAAGATTGCAGTTAAATTGAAAGATAAGACAAAATCTCCTCCAAAAAAGGCTAAATCATCCCCAAAAACCACAAAATCCCCTTCTAAAACTCCCAAATCCCCTTCAAAACCCTCCAAAAAGCCAAAAATCGACCACTCCCTCTACGCCCCCAAAAAACTCCCTTTCCTGTACACATTCTCACACCACATCCTCCCTTACTACCACTACTCCCCTCAAAACCGTCTCTTACTCCTCCTGCTCACAAAATCCTCCCAAAAATCCTTCCTCAAGCACGAGCTCACCCTCCTCCCTCTCTACACACCCCTGCCCATAACCCTAACGCCCAGTACCCTCTCCAGCTTCCCTCCTTCCACATTCCCCTTCTCCTACTTCTCCCTCTCCATAATCCAACCGTACATAAAATCCCACTTCCCAGCCCTCCTCGACCAAATCCTGTCCCTCATAAAATCCCCTTCGTCCTTCAGTCCTTCCCAACGGCTCTTGACCATCGACCGGTTCTGGGTCTACCGCCTTAGCCCAGCTAAGGAGGTGACCGTCCTCGGTCACCTGCGCAAGGGCAAGGCTGAAGTGCACGAAGCGTATGATAGTAAGGACAAGTTGGATTATTGGGTGACTGAGAAGGAATGTGGGTATCTGGTTAAGCCGGATCTGAGGGGGAAGAATACAGTGGCGATGGTCAGTGGGGATAAGAGCGAGGAGAAGGAGATGGTGGAGGTGTATAGTAATTGTAGGATTGATTATAGGTTCGCGTTTGAGTATAAGGAGAAGGAGGACTGGCTGAAGAGGAATGAGGTGAGGATAAGGAGGTTTGCGATTAGGGGATTGAGTAAGGAGAAGTGTAAGGCGCTCTTGGAGTGGAATAGGCTGAAGGTGGAGAGTTTTTGTATACAACCTTGTTATAATAATCTGGATTGTTTTGAGAAGTTGAGTAAGACGATTGTTGATACATGCAGACATCTGACGATTGGGTATAATTTCAAGGATAAGCCACTCAATACTCCTCAAGGGAATAAAGCAGCAGAAGGACTTCGAAAAACCTTAGCATTTTTGCCAAATTTGGAATCTTTGACTATCTGGGGATATCCAGTTTCAACAGCAATGGAAACTTTAGCAAAGGTTCAGACAAAGATAAAAACAGTCAAGGTCTATTCATCAAGATACAGGAATTTCATGTTTGACACAAAGCCTGGAGAAATGCACACCAAACCTGGAGTATTTGAATACAGAAATACTTCTTTACTTTACAGAATTGAGCACACCAAAGGATTTTTCTTGTATGACGACTGAGGATCACCTATCCAAAAGGATAGATCTACCATAAGAGAAGATTTTCTTGAACTAAGAGCATTCAGTATTTTCCAAATCAGAGGACTAAAATCAATCAAATCCTTCACGGATATCGCTAGGAATTCAATAACATTGAAGAGTTGAACTAGCCCGTGCTTTGTAGTACCAAAGAATTCTATAAAAGAAGCTTTCATTGAGCACAAAAAGGCCTTATGCTCCCATATAAGTTACTTCGAGAAGGCGTTGCCCAATGTGAATAGGATATACTGCGAGATCAACAGTTTACCAAAATGGGATTTCATTAAAGCTATTCTTCCGAAATTCATATGGTATGATCTGACAGTGAGTGTGTATATAAAATCACCTAAAGAGCAAGCATACCTGTTTGACTGCCTTAAGCAGCAAAAATATATGAGTCACCTTAGACTAGTTATTAGAAACCCAGACATGATGTATCAGTTGCTGAAGAAAATCAAGAAAATTGTTGCACACACTCTTTTTGAAATTGTCATCGTTGATCTCATTGAGGAAAACAAACCTGAAGAACCCAAAGCTAAGCAGGATAACAAGGATTCAGAAATGAAGGATGATACTCAAGATCAGAGTGCAAAAGATGTGAAGAAGGATAAAGACAGTAAAGATGAGACAAAAAGTCATGATAACAAGGAAAATATAGATACAAAAGATAGCAAGCAAGATGAAGAGACTAAGGATTTGAACAGCCCTAAAGAGGACTTAAAGCCAACGAAGTTATCATCTGAAGCACTAAAGGCGATTGAGAACCCTCCTGCTTCAACCCCTAAGCCTGCCTTACCGACTAAGAAGTTAAAAGAAGATCCTGAGCCTGTTTACACACACTGGTGGTCAGATTGGAAATCTGAGCATAAAGTATGGGCTACTTATCTCTCCCATAGAGCTAAGATTATCATCGAGCAAGACCCGAAGATGCCAAAAGTGATCAACATGACTAAAATCAGGACTTATTGTGAAGAAGAGTGTTAATTTTTGCAAATTTTGAAGGGATTTCAAATTTTAAAGATTTTAAGGGGTTTTGGGGTTTTGGGGTTTTGGGG